TAACAATACAAACAAAGGAGCTGCCCTTCAGCGCAGGGAAGATCAAATGACTCATTAATCTGGTTTAACGATGCCAGGTCTTATTCCTCTGTGATCCCACTTTGAGGTCAAACCATATGTTTTGAAAGGTTAGTTCTTCCCCCAAAATGTGGAGTAAACTGGATTTAAAAAAAAATACTGTAAAACTCTCAGTTAATGAAAAGGAGTGTTTTCACACCATAGCGTTTTCACATCAAGAGATAGACAGGGCTGGAATTGAGGTAAGGATCTCATTTACATTGCCAAATTGTTTTAAATTGCTTTTAAATTTTGTTAGATTTTATCCATTCTTGTAAGCCGCTTTGAGCCCCAGGCGGCATATAAGTTCAAATAATAAATAAATAAATAAATAAATAAATATAATGTGGTTTGACACTCCATTATGTGGTCAGTGTAAACTCATATAATGCAGAGAGTGTTTGAGGATCGGGTGACATCCATAGGGATACCAAGGTGCTTGTTTATAAAGCTATTGTTCTCCCAACCCTGTTATAAGCCTGCAAAACGTGGACTATCTACAGACGTCACACCCAACTCCTTGAACAATTCCATTAGCGTTGACTCCGAAAAATACTGCAAATCTCTTGGGAAGACAGGCAGACAAATGTCAGCATTGTGGAAATATCAAAGATCACTGGCACTCAAGCGATGATCCTCCATCATCAACTTCGCTGCACTGGCCATGTTATCTGAATGCCTGATCACCATCTTCCAAAGCCGTTCCTCTACTCCCAACTCAAGAACGGGAAACAGAATGTTGGTGAACAGGAAAAGAAATTTAAAGATGGGCTTAAAGTCAACCTTAAAAACTGTGGCATAGACACTGAGAACTGGGAAACCCTGGCCCTTGAGAGATCTAACAGGAGGTCAGCTGTGATCAGCAGTGCTGCGGAATTTGTAAAGGCATGAATGGAGGGAGAAAGGGAGGAAGGCATGTCAAGCCAACCCTGACCGGTACCACCTTCAACCTGGAAACCGATGTCCTTACTGTGGAATAATATGTGGCTCAAGAATAGGGTTTCACAGTCATCAACGTGCCCGCCACCAAGACACTACACTTGGAAGGCCATCATACTCAAACAACAAGGGATTGTCTAAGTAATTAAGTAAGTAATGCAGTTCAATGCAATAATCATATGAATCTACACTAACCACTATATGAAGTTTCAACCTGCATTATGTGGCAGTGTAGATGGAGCCATAGTAAAGACAATTAGATCTGTGTTCTAAAATTTGGCTAGTCGTGTAACTGCAATTATTTGGTGTGACTTGGTGAGAATTAGTTTTATACCAAGCTAAATAACATTTAATTGTCCTGGTGAGGGAACTGTATGTGTCCCTTTGTGTGGAAAAAAAACCCTGTTTTCTAATTGGTTAACAATTAATTTAATAAAATGAGATTGTGTTAGGAAAAGGAGTGTTTGCTCTTTACGCTTTCAATAAATTTTATCACTGAAATGTGATAAACTTTTTTTTCTCTATTATGACTGAATTGGAGTAAACATCTTTTTCTCGTTCTTCTTGTCTTGCAAGAAAATTCAGCATTTTTCATGTTTTAATGCTATTCTTACAGGAGTGGCTGCTTGAGAAAGATTGCATTAGGATATAAAATGTAGAGCTGCTAATTCTTCAAAAGTTAATTTACATAGAATTAACTTGTGTTGTTTCTTGAATGAAGCATTAAGCAATCAGCATAATCTATATTGGTTTTATATATTATTCTAGCATACAGAATGTCATTAAAGCAACTACATTTGTTGGTTTATTACATAATTTTATTTAAAACCCTTTGTTACATTCGTTGTGAGTATTGTGATTATATTCTGAATTCCCCAAATGCTATTGACTTACTTTTTTATATAAAAAAGAAACAGGGTCTGTTTTAAATCATACCTAGCAACACACAACCACTTTACCAACAATATTCTACAGACACAAACAAACTGAAGATTCACATCATATTTTCCCCAATCTTGTCTTAAAAAACAAAACAGATGCTGAAAAAGCAAGTGTCGTCTACGATAAATGATCCTCTCCATCTATCTATTACACTCTTATGTTATGCTCATCAGAAAACTAAACTAACAACACTCATCTGTGATTGGTTCATCCTCTTGATGATCTCAGCTCACAAAAATCTCTTTTACACAAATAATAATCGTAATAGTTACCCACTGCTCCTCACAGCTCAAGGTGGGGTACAACACAGCTAAAACACATCACTATGAACTACATAATATAAAATATACTCATTAAAACACACTACTGCAAAATACATAGATACAAAAACTCTTTGATCCCATTCCAGTTGTCATGATTCCATTATATGGATTCTTGGGATTGACAGCTTAAAAGTGCGATATCTAGAATTTGTAACCAGAGATCCGTAGTATCTAACAAAAATAAATAAAATAAATAGGGGCTATTTTAGGGGATGTGCAAGACTCAAAGCTCTTCTGGTGGACCAATGCAACTGCCTTCACTTTAACAATTGTCCACTTCTGATTTAGAAGCCGCACAAAATTTTAAGTGCTGAGCATCTGACGGTAGTTCCCTATATAAACAGTTCACCTATAGTGAAATTCTGGCCTTGTGGGGAAAATTTATTCAAAATTGACCTACTGGGGGAAAATACCTCAACACTATTTAAAGGTGGCTTGATAGTGACAAGATCTTTCATGAATAGTCTCTACACATGACTGATGGCTTCAGTGTAACACGTGAATGCCTGACCCTATTTATACTGCCATATAATGAAGTTTGAGACTGCATTATATAGTCAGTGTAGACTCATATAATACAGTTTAACAGCATTTAACTGCATTATATGAGTCTACACCAGTAGTTCCAAGTGGACTAGGGACCACTTTTATCAGGGACCACTCTCCAAGATTAGTACCAAAAGGATTACGAATCAGCTTTTAGTCAACTTTAGATTTGATTTGATTATTTGGGGTGCTGATTCAGAAAACTGCATTGGACAGACCACATCAGCTACAGTTTCTGATACAGAATACAGTGTTCCCTCGCTACTTCGTGGTTCGCTTTTAGCGGACTCGCTCTTTCGCGGGTCTTTGAAAATATTAATAAAAATATAAAATATAAAATATTTATGTCCAGTGTAGGCCAGGAACCCCAGAAGTGTGGTGGCCTGAGGTGCAGCGGGGAAGTCCTGCTTCCCTGGCCTCCACAGACCCCAGAAGGGTGGCAGCGTGAGGTGAAGCTTCCCTCCTTGGCCTGCTGCTGCCTGCATGGCCAGGAGTTGGGTAAGGAAGCACGGGTAAGAAAATAATATGTAAAATAATACACAGATTTTCACTTATTGCGGGGGGTCCTGGAACGAAACCTCCACAATATGTGAGGGAACACTGTATATATCATCCAGTAGCTGCCATCTGTTCACCCACAGAAAACCATGATTTAATAATCTAGAGCTGATGTGATAGTAGCAGTCAGCCTCTCCCCTCCTGACATCCCTGTTGCCTCGCCACTATAAGAGGATTTTGCGAGAACAGTCACTCTTGTTGCCGCGTGGTTTCAAGGCAATGGTGTAGTATTGGTGAGGCTGTGGACCATATTTTCCATGGACCACAGGTTGGGAACCACTGGTCTACACTGATCATACCATGCATTTTCAAACAGAATTGTATGACAGTGTAGATGGGCCCTCTGTTTTTCTAGATTGCCACAACCCCCAGTCACTCTGAAAAAGCACTCGGGGGGGGGGGGGGGGATCATAACAGTGGAGAAATGGAACTCAAGATATTGTTTGTCTGCAGTTGTTAATCCTTCTCTTTGTTAGCAATTTCTTAATTTCTGCAGTATTTCTAAAATAACTGCACACACAGAGGCAGATATAATTTATTTGGCATAATTAGCTTTAAGTTACCAATTGATATTTATAGAAGTTATAATTTATATTTTCCAAACAAACAGAATAAAACAAAAATATCTTCTACCATCTTATTTTCTGCCATTACTGTTTATAGCTCCTTCATTAGAGATGACAGTCTTGAAAAAACCCTCAAAAACTAACTTGGAAAATTGATATATCATTATTTTGTCATCATCCCAACCTCTCACATGAATAATGCCTCTTTACAGAGCAGGCTATAGGATAATACAGAACTACAATGTATAGTGAAGACTCCATGGGCTTACTTTGAAAGGTATCTCCGATGAGCTGCCAAGCTGCCTCTATGAAAATAGCAGCTGTCCCTCCAAGACAAAGCTGAGGAATTCCGTATTTTGGGAACGGAAGTGTTTTAGGGTCCAGAAACTAGTTAGAAGGATGAAAAGCAGCCCAAAAGATAATTTGTTCTGAAGAGCCTCCGATATTCACCTGTAGCGGCCACTTGATAATGATCAGTCCTGACATGACCAATTTTTTAATTCCAAAGGAGCGTCACTAAATTATAAATTCTGTCACTTTGGGCACTTCAAGTGATTGCCTAATTTGTCCTCTGTGTTCGGATACATACTTGTGAAAGCGTCAAGAAAAAACAACCAACATATAACCAATCCTTCTCCCTTCCAGTCTGGATATGTAAATAGGAACAAAAAGTTTTTCCATTCTTCATGACTTCAGGTAAGAAATAACAGTGAGAGTTAGTTTGCTCTTAGGGTGTTGGACTATGGCTCTGATTGAATCTGAATACAGACATGTTAACCCATTGGGTGAACTCCGGCAAGTGATACTCTCTCATCCATCCAAGAAAGCAATGGCAATCACCCCTCTGAACAAAACCAGCCAAGAGAACTTTAGAGTTGTCGTTAAGTCAGAAATTACTTGAAGGCAGAGAACAAGCATAAATAATTCATTTTTTCACTAGCAACAGAAAACTAGTTAAATCATGATTTTCTTTAGAATAATATCAGTTGTGATGGAGCAGAAACATGCAGAAGGAAATGTATTCCGAAGATCATACTAATGAAATGTGAGGGGAAATTGTGAGCCTTACTTTTGGTGGTCTCCAAGAGCTCTTTGTCCAATAGATTTCAACAAGGACTCTGGATGAACTGCTACCTTTGGTGATGTTTTGGGGCTAGTGTCGGAATCTCCGCTTTCCTCATCTCCCATCGCTTTAATGTAACTTCCGCTTCTCATCCTTCGACAGGGAATCTCATCATCTTTTCCACCAGCAGGATACCCACCCCATTCATCTTGAGGCACCTAGGACAGTCCATTAGAAGAAACACAAAAAGCAATAATATTATAGCAATTTAAGAAGGAACATCATTATGATTAATAAATGCATTAAGACTTCAACAGGACCATTTAGTCAGTCTGTTAGGATATAGAGTCATGGACTATGAATGCAGAAGGCTATTCCCCAAGCAGTTAACAAAAAAGTGGGGATTATGAATCAAGACATTCAACAAGCATTGTACAGACACACAGAACTAATTTATAGCTAGAATTTTTTTTAAAAAAGGTTCTTACTGTGTATCAGTATACTCATGTTTGGTGTTTTAATTGTACCATTAAGTTGGTGGAGAAGAGCAAAACACAGACCGCCTATTACAATGCAGTCAGAGCCCTGCCACATGCACAATGGAGGACCTCCTTATAGCAACACCAGAGGCACTCCAAATGGCCAGTTACTGGTCAAAGGACATTTAATATAATGCCACGTTTTAAACTTTGTGTTTTAAAAATACATCACAACTGCACCCTTGGTTTGCTTCTGATACGATAAATGAATAACCATTAAGTTCTGTTTTTTTCTCAATTTTTGTGCTGCATTCAAGATACACTAAATAAGGAATGTTATGTTGGATTGTAGAAAAACAATTCATAGGCAAAGAATAGTATGAGTCACGGTATGAATAGCTACTTTAGTCAACCCTTTTATTGTGTATCATCTGCTCTACAAATATTTATCTCTAATACATAGACAACTTCATATGGCTGTCTTCAAAATGGCCATACGACTTCATCCCACCTTCTGTGTTCTGGAACTGTTTCTCTTTCCAAACCAAGTGTTATCTTCACCCACACAGCATAACATACATTTAGACTTGCTCTTTTTATTTCCCACCAGTATCCCGAGGAAAGCACATACATGCCAAATCGAATTAGTGAGGCATCCCTTAGCATGTATTTTCCATAAACATTTCATTAAACATAGTTACATTATACAATATCTTAACTATCAGCTATTGCGTGATTTATATTAGATGTTTTGATGAATCTGCAACTAAAATTTACACATTTGGATATGGGATCAGGGATCAATAAAGGATTGGGGAATAGCTTTAATGTATTTGTATTACCTACAGCCTTAGAAAATAAATCTGAAAGTGGGCAAGGCAAGGCCTGAATTCTGCATAGACACTAGAACCACTTTTTGTATGTTCTCAGTGTTTTTAGATTTTTTTAAAAAAAATGACAAAAGTTTGTCTTGTTGATTTAGCTGTACATATCATATCAATGAGAAGCCACCATCGTTGTGTTAATCTTGCCACTGGACAGGACCCTTATACTGCGAAGACTGTGTGTTGATTGCCTGTGCACTGATCTCCACACATAAATCAAATTCACGCATAGAAGTCTTCCAAGAAAAATAAAGACAAACCAACAGAAGTCCCACAGTGATCAGCGAGTGGCGACGGGAGCAGGTCTGTGAAATCTGGAAGCCTCTAGTCAGACTGGCACATGGGAAGTGGAAATGGATTCAGTTGCTCTACCTCAAGGTCCAAGCCAGTTGAGTAGTTTGACAGCTAAATCCACAACTGAACAGCGCATTTTAGGATCCACTCTGCTCACCCCACATGGAGAGGGGGCTAGAAAAGGTGCCATAACCGAAATTTATATACTCATGGATAAGTCATTTTTGGGGGGATTGGGTGTTTTCCAATGCATTTCAATTATATTTATTATATTTTACAGTATTTTTAACTTAACACACACAAAACTGTTTAATTGTTTTTAATTTTGTATTTGCTTTGTTCTAAATTGATCGAAGCGTGTGCCTGTCAGCTGCCTTGAGTACCCTCAGGGAGGAAGTTGGGATATAGATAAAGTAAGGAAATAAATACATAAATAATAACCCCAGGTGTAAATTGAGGACAAGTTTCAAGACTAAAATTACTGTTTTTGATATGACCCATGGATAAGTCAAAAATCATTCCACAGGAAAGGGAAGTCACCAATGCCATCTGAAGGGGCTGCTGGGACCATTTCTTGCCCAGGCATTTAAAAAAAAATCACAGAAGAAGCACCACATCAGTGAGAGCCGAGGTAGTTGTTGCTTCTTTTAGGTTCTCCTGGGATGGTCTAAGCTCTTGTCTTTCACCACTTCACTCAGAGAAGGGGATGGTTCCTTTGCTGGTACTACACTCACACTGACCCATGGATAAGTCAATCCAGAGGTCTTTCACACAGCCCTATATCCCAGAATATCAAGGCAGAAAATCCCACAATGTCTACTTTGAACTGGGTTATCTGAGTCCACACTCAGATAATATGGGATTTTCTGCCTTGATATTCTGGGAGATAGGGCTGTGTGGGAGGACCCCCAGTTTTTGGGGGGTTAATTTTTTTGATTAAAATGTCTACAATTGTATATGAGTTTATATACGGAGTTGGAGGCAGCCGAGAAATCCTTCTCGACTGCCCGCATTGCGTCTGCAAAAAATAAACTGGCTGAGTTGTTTCAGGTTGTCGGGGAGCTCCTTCATCCTCCTGGGATGGAAGAGCCCCTCAACAATCTGATCACTCGATGTAGCGACTTCATGCATCACTTTGCTTGGATATGCTCCGATCTGGACGCCAACTTTTCTACAATGTCAGGTGAGGTAACAGAGACACCTGTCTGTTCGATCTTACTGGATTCATTTCAACTTGTGCCTGATGACGTGGACAGGATCCTTGGAGCGGTGAGGGCGACCACATGCGCGCTAGACCCTTGCCCATCGTGGTTTATAAAACTTGCTGGAGAAGGGTTGGCCGATTGGTTGTCAAAGATAATAAATGCTTCATTTGAACAAGGGCAAATTCCACCATGCCTAAAAACAGGCAGTCGTGATACTGCTCTTAAAAGAGGCATCTCTTGATTCATCAATTTTGAACAATTATCAGCCAATCTCAAATCTCCCTTTTTTAGACCCATCGCAGTCTGGTTTCAGGCCTGGCCACGGCACCGAAATGGTTTTGGTCACCTTGGTGGATGACCTCCGCAGAAAAATTGACAGGGGGAGTGTGATCTTGTTGGTTCTCTTGGACATCTCAGCGGCTTTCGATACCATTGATCATGATATCTTTCTGGGACGACTCTCTGGAATGGGTCTTGGGGGTACTGCATTGCAGTGGCTCCACTCCTTTCTGGAGGGTCGCACCCAGTTGGTGAAATTGGGGGATACCTGCTCGGACCCCTGGCCTTTGACCTGTGGGGTCCCACAAGGCTCTATTCTTTCCCCCATGCTTTTAAATATCTACATGAAACCACTGGGTGAGGTCATCCGGAGTTTCGGAGTTCGTTGTTATCTCTATACAGATGACACGCAACTCTATTACTCCTTTCCACCAAAATCCAAGGAAGCCCCTCGGGCTGCTGTGATGGGCTGGATGAGGGCCAACAGGTTGAAACTGAATCCTGACAAGACAGAGGTCCTCCAGGTCAGTTGCTCGGTCTAACGGGGTATAGGATGGCAACCTGTATTCGACAGAGTTACACTCCCCTTGAAGACACAGGTCTGCAGTTTGGTGGTCCTCTTGGATTCAGTGCTGACGCTTGATGCTCAGGTGTCGGCGGTGGTCGGGAAGGCCTTTGCACAGCTAAAACTTGTGCACCAGCTGCGACCATACCTCGAGAAGTCTGACTTGACCATGGTGGTCCACGCCTTAGTTACCTCAAGATTGGACTACTGTAATGCACTCTATGTTGGGCTACCCTTGAAGACGGTTCAGAAACTACAGCTGAAGCAAAGGTCGGCGGCCAGATTGTTAACTGGAGCAAGTTACAGGGAGTGGTAAACCCCCCTGTTTAAACTGCTCCACTGCCTGCCAATAACTTTCCAGTCCCAATTCAAGGTGCAGGTTATTACCTATAAAGCTCTAAACTATTCAGGGCCTGCCTATCTTTGAGACCCCATCCTCCCCTATGAGACCACACGTTCCTTAAGATCTTCCGGGGATGCTCTTCTCTCGCTCCTGCCCCTATCTCAGGCGCGGTTGATGGGGACGAGGGAAAGGGCATTCTTGGTGGTGGCCCCTCATCTCTGGAACTCTTTCTCCAGGGAAATTAGGCAGGCACCCTTCCTCGCTATTATCCATAAGGAATTAAAGATGTGGATGTTTCGCTGTGCATTCGACTGACGACTCCTATGATAAATAACTTATATCATGACCTGAATCATGACCTATTTCCAAATTCCTATATTACATTATTATATATATCCTTCAGTTAAGTTAAATTGATCCTGTTAAATTGCTCTATTTCCATGCTATTGCCTATACTATTATACATTGCTATCTACCTTATTGAACCACCTTATCCTTAACCAGCTCAAATAGTGGTCCTTGTCCCCCCTCTCCAAAATTTAGTCTGCTGTTGCTTTTGATGCTTGTTTTACTGTTATGCTGTTTTTATGCTGTTTTATGCTGTTTTGATTTGTTGTTGTTTTGCTTTTAATTGTATTTTGTTTTGGGCTTGGCCCCATGTATGCTGCCCCGAATCCCTCCGGGGAGATGGAGGCAGGGTAGAAAAATAAAGTTGTTCTTCTTCTTCTATATGGTGTGCATTTGTGTGTGTGTGTGTGTGTGTGTGTGTGTATATATATATATATATATAGAGAGAGAGAGAGAGAGCGTTCATTAAATATGAGTGATGAGATCTGATGTGTTAATAATGAAAGTAAGCTCTCTAAATGCTAAGTAATCAACTAGGAGTTGTGGGATTTTATTTGTCAATAATGAGTGTTAGAACACTTATTCTTTCTTAAAAATAAAATATAAATCAGAAAAATAAATGGAAAAGTAATTGTATGTGCTTTATTTATTTAAAAAGCAGGCTAAGTTCCACTTTCATCTTAGGTTGTACCCCACCAGTACTTGAGCCACTGGAAATGTGGCTTCCAGTGCCATGGGAGTTGATCGTTTTGTTATAGATGCAATGCACATACCACAGTTTTAAGCTTCAGCTTTTGAAAAAGGAACTGGACAGGGTTGCA